ATGGGCAGCCTGAAGTGGGGCCTCTGGGACCGATGGAGAGGGGGCCACATGCATCCCACCCTAGGAACAGGTTAGTCAGCAAAGGTCGGGGGGTGGAACGGCGGCGTCCCAATCCGGCAACGGCGTCCCAAACCGGCCGCGATTTTACACTAGGCCGCAATTCCCGGAGCTCCGGAATTGGCCCAAAATTGGCACAGCACCCCTCCCTGGGTGCTCATCAGGGGCCGTAGGGTCTCCGGGGCCCCTGTGAAGTACGCTGCTGCCCGGATGGCAGCATATGGGCACTGGGGCGATGGAGCTCTTGCTTAGGAGACTGCTCTGGTCGCCATCTTGCAACCTCAGATATATATTATAAAAAAATTATATAATGTATTATCTAGCCATACTAGACGTATCAACTTACTTTCATTATATTATAACCTAAGGGTGGATTATGCATAGGACCATTTATCACCATTAATATTATTAGTACTTTTATTTTTATTATTTGTAATATTGTCATTATTCAATTTGATTATCATCATTACCGTTACCATGGTTATACTGCATTTTTTATCTCACCTAATTATTTTATATACCACTGTTGCAAGGTGATCTTCACATCCTATGCCACTAGCTAAATTTTATGAGCATCTAAGCAAGCATACACCATTGGGTGTAACATATCTAATTTTATATATATATTTTTTTTAATTTTAATTTTTAATTTTCAATTAATTTTTTATTTTTTATTACTTTTAAATTTTTATTTTTTCATTTTTTATTTTATTTTATTTACTTATTTTTTATTTTTTATTTTTATATTTTATTGATTATTTATTTTTTAAAATTTTGTAATTTTTCAGTTTATTATTTTTTAAATTTTCCAATGTATATATATTTTTTTCATGCATTTTTATTTATTTTTTTTATTTTTTATTTATTTTATAATTTTTTTTATCATTTTTTGTGTATATACAAAAGTCGGGGGGTCGTCTTATACGCCGGTACACATGTTAGGGGGGCTGCGGCATTAAGTACAGGGGTTTGCAGGGGCTGATGTCTCTTACCTGGATCCAGTCCCACGACGATCCGGTCCAGGAAGCGCGGCGTCCCTTTCAGTTCGGCCACTGGATGTTCGTGCGGCTGCTCGGCAATCTATCCGCCTCATCACCGGTGATTGGCCGCCAGAAAAACTGTAGCTCAGGAAAGGCACACAGGCGGCCAATCAAGGCGAGGAGGGGGCGGAGCCGAGCGGCCCCGCGAAAATTGAGTGCCGGAAGCAGCAGGTAAGTGTGCTGTGTAGAGGTGCTGCTGCAACCACATATGCTGGCTGCAGCAGCACCATACGTGAGACAGGGTCAGCAAGTCTCAGTGGGAGGAATAGTGCCCCATCATTGGTGTCACTGATACCAATGATGGGGCACTATTCCTCCCACTGATACCAACGATGGGGCACTATTCCTGACCCCAACCCACCCCCCCCACTGACACCAACGATGGGGCACTATTCCCCCCATACACTGACACCAACGATGGGGCACACTATTCCCTACCCCTCACTGACACCAATGATGGTGACACCATTTCTCCCACTGACATCCAATGATGGGGCACCATTCCTCCCACTGACACCAATTGATGGGGCGCACCATTCCTGCCACTGATACCAATGATTGGGGGGTCACCTATTCCCCACTGATACCAATGATGGGGCACTATTCCTCCACTGATACCAATGATGGGGCACTATTCCTGCCACTGATAAGCCCGAATGATGGGGCACTATTCCTCCCTCTGACACAACAGATATAAATGATGGAGCATATTCCTCCACTGATACCAATGATGGGGCACTATTCCTGCCCACTAATGCCAATGATGGGGCACTATTCCTGCCACTAATACCCAATGATGGGGCACTATTCCTCCCACTGACATCAATGATGGGGCACTATTCCTCCCACTGACACCAATGATGGGGCACCTCATTCCTGCCACTGATACCAATGATGGGGCACTATTCCCCACTGATACCAATGATGGGGCACTATTCCTCCCACTGATACCAATGATGGGGCACTATTCCTGCCACTGATACAATGATGGGGCACTATTCCTCCCACTGACACCAATGATGGAGCACTATTCCTCCACTGATACCAATGATGGGGCACTATTCCTGCCACTAATGCCAATGATGGGGCACTATTCCTGCCACTAATACCAATGATGGGGCACTATTCCTGCCACTGACATCAATGATGGGGCACTATTCCTCCACTGGTGTGCATTGGAAGAGGGGTAGTCTTATACGGCGAGTATAGCCCAAACACTACATTTTAGCAGGAAAAGTAGGGGGTCGTCTTATACGCCCAGTCGTCTTATACGCCGGCAAATACGGTATATATATATATATATATTTTGTAATTTATATATACCTTTTATATATTTTATTTATTTATTTTTTACATATATATATTAATTTGATTTAACATTATTATTTTCATTTTGACCATTTCTATTTCCATTTTTATTCACATTTTATAAATATTGATAACTACATTTTTTTCCTTTTTCTTTTCTTTTCATTTCTCTATTTTCCATTTTTCCATTTTCCCTGTTTCAATTTTTTCCCATACCATTTTATTTTCATTATTAATAACGTCTTATTTTTTCATCCATTTGCAATTTTAATTCTCTTCCCGTACCTTTTAACCACACAGTGTCACCTTTACAACAATGGTTATAATCACATTATTGCTGAAACAATTGGTTAATTAATTGCCAATCAGCCCCTCTGAGGATTAACTCCGTATATATACAACTATCGGACTCCCACTTCCCCCGGCTTGATAAAGGAGCGCACTTCCGCCTCTCCAGGCCAGCGCATGCTCCGAAACGCATCGCAGTGCACCTTGGGTAACTGACGTCATCACGCCCATGTCATCGCTGCATTCCAGCGTGTGTTCCACCCGGCTTTGAGGAGGACGTGCACACCGGCCGGCCCCACAGCTGTCCCCCACCAGCCACCACGCTGCTCCAGCGGAACGCTGACACATTGTTACCGATGACAGCTCAGTGACACGCATCTTCATTAAAGTGTTATGCTGCACTTAGAGGCGCTTCTTCTCCTTCTCTCATCCTAACAGAGAGAGTCACTGCCCTGTTCATAGAGCTCAGGAGACAACTGGAGGACCTGGAGAAGAGAGTCCTGAGGGAGATCGCCAGCCAGGAAGAGCGGCTTTCATGTCCATTGTCTGAGATGATCCATCAACTGGAGATAAAGAAGAAGGATCTGTCCAGGAAGATGGGGACATTGAGGAGCTGTGTAACATGACCGACCCCCTGACTGTCCTCCAGGAATCAGACACAGGGGACTTGTGTGATACTGAGGAGGGAGATGATGAGGACAGAGAGAGACATGATAGACTCCTCCATGATGGAGGGGATCTGGATGTGGCTGGAATCTCACACACATTACACACAGGGATATCTGATATGATAAAAGGGGGAAATGTATGCTTCAATATACAGGAAGCTTCAGACTTATTACTGGATGTGAACACAGCTCATAATAATCTACAGATATCAGATGACATGAAAACTGCATCCTGGTCAGATATAGAGCAGAATCGTCCAGAAACACCAGAGAGATTTCAGTTCTGGGAACAGGTATTAAGCAGTCAGAGTTTTTCCTCGGGGCGACATTACTGGGAAGTGGATGTCAGTGAGGGAGAAAATTGCGAGTCGGGATGTGTTATCCCAGTATAGAGAGGGGAGGAGGGCAGTCAGGGATTGGAAATAATAACAAGTCCTGGAGTTTTGTGGAAGTATAACAGTGAGTGTTATCTATTACATGATAATAAAACAATCCGCATATCTCCCGATACCCCCCCTGATAGAGTCAGGATCTATGTGGATTATGAGGCCGGGCAGCTGTCCTTTTATGATCTGTGTGACCCCATCAGACACCTCCACACCTTCACCACCACCTTCACTGAGCCCCTCCATGCCGGGTTATGGGTAATGAAAGGTCGTATAAAGATCTCTGGGGGGGTCAGGAGACGTGTAAAATGATCATATGACAGGAAATCTGACCTGAATCTGGTGAAATCTGCTGAGAAATGTGAATCTGGTTCATAGGATGACACCGTTTGTAGAGATAATATATTTCTTCAATCGGTAGATCTGGTAGATCTCAGCCGAGGAGAGTGTCCTCCATCACTTCCACACCCAACAAGGCAAGATTTTTTTTAGGGGGGGGGGTTATTTAGCATTAGGCTGACCACACACTATACAATCTGATTGTACAATAATCCTTTAGATCTCCCATCAGCTGTGTAGTATACGGGTCTGCCTGATGTGACCCAATAAAGAGCTGATTCACACATGTGCGGTGCGGATTGAAGCTCAGGATTCACAGCTAATTGGCACAGTAGTTGTTCAGCGGTTCAGATCAGGTTTCATCAGGATGGAAAGGTGGAGGAGCAAGGTTCAGGTCAGGATTTTATCCCGTTCACGGGGTCACACATGTGCGGTTTAGAAACGGTTCCCATAGAAGTCAGTAGCCTGTAATCCGCACCTGAACCGGACCGCACTGCTCAGAAATCTCACATGCAGGGCGGACTGACAACTCATGGGGCCCCCTAGGCAATAGGGGATCATGGGGCCCCCGTGTCCTTGCCCAAACTCAAAAAAGCGCATAGGCTTTTTTCATAGGAAAAAGGTACCAGGGGAATCTCATGGGGCCCCTACTGACCCCAGGCCCTCGGGCAGTAACGCGAGGAGGAGCCTTTCCAAATGGTCAGTCCGCCCTGCTCAGCATCGTGGAGCCTCTCACCGCCAGTGCAATGGACCTATCATTGGTGTCAGTGTTACTGGAATAGTGTCCCATCATTGGTGTCAGTGGGAATAATAGTGCCCCATTAAACCTTGGTACACGTGGGCAATAGTGCCCCATCATTGTTGGTGTCAGTGGGGGAATAGTGCCCCATCATTGGTGTCAGTGGAGAGAATAGTGCCCCATCATTGGTGTCAGTGGGAGGAATAGTGTCCCCATCATTGGTGTCAGTGGGAGGAATAGTGATTTTGGATCATTGGTGTCAGTGGGAGGGAAGTGCCCTTCTACCCGTGATAGTATACCATCATTGGTGTCAGTGGGGGAATAGTTTTTATACACTCACTGGTGTCAGTGGGGGGAATAGTGTCCCCATCATTGGTGTCAGTGGACCTAGGAATAGTGCCCATCTTTGGTGTCAGTGGGGAACTAGGATAGTGCCCCATTTTATGGTGTCAGTGGGGGGAGGAATAGTGCCCCATCATTTGGTGTCAGTGGGGGGAGGAATAGTGTCCCCATCATTGGTGTCAGTGGGAGGAATAGTGTCCCATCATTGGTGTCAGTGGGGGAAATAGTGCCCCATCATTGGTGTCAGTGGGGAGGAATAGCCCCATCATTTGTCATTTTTTTGGTGTCAGAAATTTGGTAGATCATTGGTGATCTCAGCCGAGGAGAGTGTCCCCATCATTGGTGTCAGCCAATAGTGCCCAACATTGGTGTCAGTGGGGGGAGGAATAGTGCCCCATCACACTATCAGTGATTGGGAGGAATAGTGCCCCATCAGGTGTCAGTGGGAGGAATAGTGTCCCATCGATTGTGTCAGTGGGGGGAGGAATAGTGCCCCATCGTTGGTGTCAGAAGGGGAGGAACAGCTAGTGCCCAGTCGTTGGTGTCAGTGGGGAGAGGAATAGGTGCCCCATCAGGTTCAGGAAAGGTTCAGGATGGGGCAGGATTTTCCTCCCATGACACACCTGTCAGTGCGGTTTGCTCCAAAGGTTCCCATAGAAGTCAGTAGCCTGGAATCCGCACCATGAACCGGACCGCACTGCTCAGAAATCTCCATGCTCCTTCTCACTCGCCAGGGCGCACCGGACCGATGTTTGACAGGCACCATAGGAAGCAATGTTATGTCACATGTCCTGCTTCATTCATCCCGGGCGCTTTGCGGGGCCGCTCATGCGGATTGGATGCGGTTCAAACCTTCCAATGAGCTACATATGTCAGTGGCGCCCAAGCACAGGAATAATGAGGAGGCGGAGCCGTTAAGCACGATACATCTTCATAGGAGAGCTTTTGGTAAAGAATAAGGAGCAGCGCTTCCTGGTGTACTGGATCATCATGGGACTGGTCCGGAGCCAGCATAAGACCACAGCAGTCATATAAAAGCCCATGAGCAATGCCCCATGTACTTCCAGGCAGTCCCTCACATTGGAATTGCGTAGGCTGCTGGCAGATCCGAAACAGCAGTATAGTGTATGGTCCTTTAGGGTTCCTTGGGGGTTATGTTAAGGTTTTGGCAAATACGCCCCTGGGGGGGTTATGTAACTTTAGCTCCCACCCCCTGTTTTCTGAACTTTTGGACAAGCTGTATAAATTCTGCACTTTGAACAGATGTAGAGAAGAGAAGACTGCAGATACACAGGTACAACTTATGTAGGAGGATTTGTTTCCTCTCTGTGTATCTCCTGAGGCCAGTCACTGCACTGGGTATAGGTAAGGGTTTACAACCCCTTTGAAGATTTAATCATGAGTCGGTTTTATGGCCCTTTTACCCGTCTGACTGCTGAACAGCAGAGATTATGCTGGATGGTTATTCACTGTTATAAATAAGTCATCTAGAAAGGTGAAAATATTTTATTCTGTAAAGTGGTTATAAGGGAAGGACATTCTGTACCTCAAAGCCGTATTAAACCCAAAGGGAAACATTTGTTATATTGCAGCTTACCAATTCTTAGATGTGACGGCTGCATTAGTTTTATTTTTTAGGCTTTCTTTCCTCTATTTTATATCTGGTGATCCTGCCAGTATGTCTGTTGTTTTTCAAAGGAACAAGCTCTCTTCCAGATATAGCGGTTATAGGGATGAGACAAACCATCTGCCAATGACAGGGGTGATTACAATACTCAGCTTTTTTATTTATGTAAAAACTTTATCCTAAAAGGGAAAGCATGTTTGGTGTAACTACTTGGAGTTTGGCTTCAATTTGTTAGTGTATTTAAATCTGCTAGTCCATTTAACACTCCCTCCCCCCAGACAGATAATGCTGCTGTCCAAAGCTGCCCCCTGTGCTCCTTCCTCCAGAGTGGGGGCGATCTAATACAGGAGGTGTGTTACTGACCAGCAGTGCCGGGACAAGATCATCTAGAGCCCAGGGTGAACATGCTGAATTGTGCCCCCCCCCCAAGATGTATGAGCATTATGTGTTAGCAAAAATCCCCTCCCCCAACAAAAAAAATGGACTAATCTGCCTGCTTATCCCCTAAGCATTCCACCTCCTCCCAGTACAAATCTGCTCCTTGCTGAAATCCCCTTCCCAGCACAAATATTTGCCCCCCCCCAACCCCCCCCAGCTCAAATCCACTCATTCCTCATATGCCCCCAGCACAAATCCACCCCCCAAAAAAATTCCCCCTTAGTACAAATCCTCTACCCCTCACCTCAAATTTCACTTCTGAGCACAAATCCTCCTCTCCCCCTCTTCTAAATCCCCCCTCCCAGCAAAAATTCTCTCCAATCCCCCATCCTAACACAAATCCACCCAAATTTCCCCTCCTAGCACAAATACCTCCAATCATCCCTGCTAGCACAAATCCCTACCCCCCAAAAAAAAATCCCCTACTTGCACAAATCCCACCCCCAACCTTCTTTTGGTGCCCCCCCCCCCACCTCACATGATATCACAGTGCCCAGGGCAGCCCCCCCCACCCACCCCTTTGTCCCAGCCCTGCTGACCAGATCACCAGGTGAAAACAGAGGGAAGAAAAGCCTAAAAAAAGAAAACTAATGCAACCAAGAGAAAAAAATGCATTGGGTGGTAACAAAAGCAAAATCCACCTGTTGGTTGTCTCTGTGGAATTCATGAGAAGTCATTTTACCCTTTTATATGTGTTGTTTTATATATTCCATGCATTTTAAGGTTTTAGATTCCACTTTTATGCATTTTATCTTGTCTCTATTTTTTGTGCCATTTTATGTTCTGGGATTTGATTATTGTGTGCTGACATTTTATTGTACATTTTATTGTCCAGCTTTCATCTTTGATGTTTCATTAAAGTTTTGTTGAATCCTTGAAGTGTTCGGTTTAGTATTTTGAAGCGTTCATTTTCAGGCTTTGGTTACAATGTATCTAAAGCCTTCCTTTGTTTTTTTAGATTAGTTTTGATAATTTTAATTTCTTGTTCACAGAGACAGAAGGAAATCTCTCCGAGGTCCGAGGAATCACCCTCTTAGTCTAGGTTCACACCTATGCAGGTTGTGTTTGATGTGTTTCTGCATTGCATTTTTTTTCACTTGTGTTTTTGCCACATTTTTGATGCGTTTTGTTTTTTGTTTTTTTTTTCTCTTTTTGCTAGGCAGATTTAAAATGCAAAATGCAGCAAAAACACAATAGGGGGGGGGGGATCTTCACGATATTCATACACCGTGTATTTTTTAATACGCCTCTGGTTAGTGCGCATTTATACCATATGCACAGGGAGCACCATCACAGGACTGGAATTTCTTGCAGTTTTCCACCAGAAAATCATTTACTCACCAATTATTTTTATCATCATTGCATATTTATTGTTACATATATCAGTTACTTCTGATTGATTATTAGCGCTGCATTTTTTTATTTTTAAACATGCAATCCGGTGGCACTGCGGTTCCAAAATCGCTGCATTCACGCCTTTGGTGTGATGTGGTGCGATTTGTGCTCATTCAAAATGAATGGGCTCAGATTGCATTGCACTGAATCACATGTGAATTGCACAGGAGTGTGTTGCAGTTCCTTCGTGATTCACTTGCACTTCATTGTGTGAACCAAGGCTCAGCAATACAATTGTCACACAATAGTTGTGTATTCCAACATGAGTATTAAACAAACATCAATGAACTGGCACTTTATGTTTCAATGTTCTTATTAAGTTTACAGAAAAGTAAAGTACAACAGATGGCATAGTACGTATACATGCGTCCATTATCAACCATCAATAACAAATGACATCCCATCTCTTACAAAGAACAATATATACCTATGTGTGATGACAATTTAGACATGGAGGGAAACACAATATATTGTATAAGATTGGAGCCAGTAAGAACAAAGATTTTTATATACAAAACATTATCCTGAATATATATTTGCAAGCATCAGTAACAAACCTATAATGCGCATATCTGAATGGGCAATTGCCAGAAAGAAACGCAAAGGCCAATCAAATCCCTAAAAGAACAAAAAGGGAAATATTACTAGTAAGTAATCCAATGAAAGCAGCAATATTAGAAGGTGATGTTGGAGCTGAGGTATCAAATACAAATTCACATAGAACTATGTTGTCAGAAATACTTTTTGCCCCAAATGGGGACAAAGAAGCAAAAAGGACAAAATGAACAAATGTAAACAAAAATGGTAACCCAAAGAAACATAGAAAAAAACTGGTAATATCCCAGAGCCGCTCTGTTATCCACCAACCTCACAGTTGTGACATTACAGAAAAAAGAAAAAAAAAAAAAAAAAAAAAAAGCACCAGAGAGACCTTCATGGGATCCTTGAAGCCTTAAGAGTAGATAACCAAACGTTCTATAAAGCTGTTATATGATTTAATTAGGTGTGTGCCAACATTTGTTACATTACTCAAACTCATTTTTTTTCACCCCGAAATCAAATCCTCAAAGTTGTAGTGATGAATGAGTAAGCAATTTGCATTAACCTCCTTAGCGGTTTTCCAGAGTGTAGCTCGGGTGGTAGAATTTCTATACCAAGAACGGTAACCCCGAGCTACACTCGGGCTTACCATGCAGCGTTCTCTGGGGGTCCCTGCAGCACTTACCTTGTCCTTCGCTCCCACGATGTGTCCCCTGCAGCGTCCCGTCCATCTCCTCCGGCGGATGCCGGCATCTGACTTCCGTGTTTCCGGTCCCCGTGACGTCGGAACATTCGGGCGGCGGAACGGCGGGAAATTTGAAATTTTTAAAAAATTACATTTTTGCTGTCATTGCTTTTTCACTGCATTTCACATACATTTTGTCCCCACTGCTTTGTCCGGCGCCCTGCCTGCATTTTGACTGTTCTTTCTGCCTGGAAACTTAGAAAAGTCCATCCCCTAAAACGGCCTATGAAATGAGTTCGGCCAAAAAGCGTCCCTTTACATCAAAAGCGGTTTTAGAACAGCGATAGTAAAGTCAGAACCACTTGCAGAATTGAGTGATAATGATTTGTGGGGAAATTCGTCATCAGACACTGAAAACGATTTTGCGACTTTGCTCAGCGATGTGCGAATTTGCCTCTGTATTTCAAATTTCAGTGTTTTTGGTTTGATTATTGAATTAAATTGATTATTATTATTATATTATTATTTTTTATGATTATTAATTAAATTATAATTTATGATTTTGTGTTTCAAGTTTTATCATATCCGGAATGTTTAATAGACTCTTGTTCGTACAGATTTCAGTGAGTTATTCCTAAAAATTACAGCCTACAATTAAAAACTACATATTTCCATGCAAAAAAATGGTACCGCTTTCAGCACAAAATTCCTGACATGATCATACCGCCAGGGAGGTTAAGATTGTTTTATATTGTCTGTCTGGTGCAGAAACTGTTTCTCTACCAGACCTTTGCTATGTGTTGCAGCAAATGGTGACAATACAGCGAAGCTATTGGTGGATATTGAAAGCTGATATTTTGGGGCTTTCTTACAATTTTCTATATTCTTTCCGCATTACCCTGTGGCAACCATTTTGTGAACTGAAATAAAAGTGAAAAATGTCATCTGA